AATCGTTTGACTACTTGTCTCTATTCAGGCACCGGGCGGGGCCCGGCCGATGTCCGCCCGGACGCCTTTTAAATCGGACGGTGTTTTAGTAGAACAAGAAATCGCCCGATCAAAAAATCATCGCCCGGTCGCCGCCCGGCGACCGAGCGATGTCCGCTCGATGATATTTATACTCACTGACCCCAAAAATTATCGTACGGCCGCCGTTAGCTTTTAAGTATTACTTAAAACTCGAAGGCGCCCGCCCGATGAGCAAAATTTTCAGCTGCTGCCGTCCGATAGTCACTGCCGCCGGACGGACGACGGCCGATATTGCGATTTTTTGGAGAAACAGACGCCGCCCGGTGGCATTTTCTTATTTGTGACCTAGGCTTTACTATCATGCAGGGATAAACGTTGGCATCAATTCTGATACCCACGCCCATAAAGGAAACCCTGAAACTTAAGGGAATGTTTTGTTACCCCCCTACCGGTTTAACTGGAGAGGACTTTAGTTTTACCCTCCGTCCGTCTGTCTGTCTGTCTGTCCGTCCGTCCGTCCACAAAATTGGCAAAAAGTACTGAAAATATTTATATGAACCTTGATATATGGATAGATGGGTGTCTGGAGATTGTGCGCGTTTTTTTTTTCTTTTCTTCCTATGTTGAAAGATTTGGTTGCTATGACAACATATAGGCCTAATATATGGCAAATATAGCATTATTTGTCATAAATCAAAACGTAGTGAAAACATGTTTTTGAAACTAAATATATATGTTTCTGATCATCATATGTGATAAGGTTTACAACTGTAGCTCAATAATTTTCAGAATTACCCCCCTTGAACTTAGAATTTTCATGAAAAAAATGATGATTTTTATAACTTCTTTATTTCATAATGTATGATTGATTGATTGATTTTCTTTAGACCGGGCGGTCAAGGATAGCCTACGAAAGTGCAAGCACTTATTTCCAGTAGGGTCCTTACCTCAGCAGACACAAGAGACAGCTATGAGATACAAGGAAATCCGGGAACCAGTCCCTAGCTCTTATTGAATAGATTCCTTGGTTCTTTTACATGCCCAGTGTATAGCACTGATACATGCGAGGATTACCTGGGTTTCGTACCAGACCTCTAGTTAGGTGGGAAACACTGAAAGTGTTTCTGAAAAATCCATCCCAAGGGTGTTACCCAGGATCGAACCCGGAACCTCAGGAGTGACAGTCAGTGGTCTAACCAACTGAGCTATCGCGCCACTATAAACTTCATATATATGTGTCTTATTATCACTCAATTCATTTTCGAGAAGGTTTAACACCCTAGCTTGACTATTTCCAGAATTATGTCCCCTTGAACTTAGATTTTTTTTCTAGAAATTATTATATTTTACTCCAAATTCTTCTTTTCTTATAGCATTTCCTTCAAACTCCCACATCATAATAAATAAATAATATGACAAGGGTTCTTAATCTCCAGAATTATGTCCTTATACTTTGAATTTTTCTTATTCATTCTTTAACTTTCTTATTTCTTCATGGATTTACTTCAAAATTAAAAAAGACCTTCATTATCAAATAGAATAGAGAAAATCACAACAAAACCTACTTTACATGTGATTATATTTATGAGACATGGGTTTCCATGATTATTTTCATTTCAACTTGAAATTTACTTGAATTTTCTTTTAATTTTCTTCTTTGTTACTATGAATGGTATTTTTTTTTTTTTTTTTTTTTTTTTTTTTGTGTCTATAAATGGTCTATAAATGGTGTCTGCTTTAAACTTGAGATAATCGTTATTTGTTACATGACAGTGTTCATAAGTCTAGCATCTTTATTTCAAGAGTTATCAACAATAAGTTTAAGAATTTTGCTTTTGAAAATGTTATATTCTGGTAACTATGGAGGGCGATCGTTGCCAAAATTCCAGACATGTAATGTGTTCCTATTGAAAACTACTTTTGAAAATGCGAACGTGTATGTCTAGCATTTTTGATTGTATTCGTGCACAGCAAATGATATGCCTCTTAATCCAATCTTTGAATTGAAGGCACCCGCTCTTTAATAACAAGTTTACATGTAAATCTTAACAACTGATCTAACATCGAGAACAACAACAAATTTACAAGTTCGTATCTTCCATTGCATATAATACATAAGCATGTTTGCACGCTTGTAGATATTTACCTGTACCTGAAAATTACAAATGAAATGTAAAACTCGAATACAGAAAATAGAATTTAATAAAACGTTTTTCCAGCCGTAGAACTACAACAGTACGTTAACACAGTAACATGTTTAAAATGACAAAAGGAGATTCACAAAGTTAAACGATTTTAAGTCATGCATGACGCTTCGCCCCTCTCTGAGTATTTACGATCTTCTTTTACGGAAATGTACGGACAGGTATAATACCCGTCGCCTCTCTCCTATTTCTCAATAAAGTGAAGGAAAACACGGCGTCCATTCTAACTTTTTTATTTCTGTAAAAAGTCAAATAGTTTTGGTATCAAATGAAAGATTACTCCATAAGCTTTCTATGAGTGCCTCAGAAATAAAAATGAATTCAATAGATGTATTGAAATTTTTGTTTCCAAATTTATCATTTTTTCCTCTGAAATTAACACACTCAAATTGGTTAGAAAAACACGGCGTTCCCTCCACATTTTTTTTTTATTTGGAAATCAATTTTGATAATTTTGGATTGAAATGAAAGTGTGCTTCATATGATTTATGATATATAATTATAAAATGCCTAAAAATAAAAATGAATTAAATCAAAATGAATTAACTTTTCGTTGTTAAGTTTATCATTTTACTTTCTGTAAAACAGAATAAATAAGAATCCTCAAAGAACGCTCAAAACAATAAAATTGAGAAAATGCAGGCTCAGTTTGATTGAGCCTGTTCATGGACGGTAATGGAAAGTGCAAGTTACCGTCCACGCCCCCCAAGCACCGGCTTAATTAAAATTCAACATTTAACATGAACTGGTACAATTTTGAATTTTGAAACATCCGCAGATCATGAAACCATTCCATGAAAAACGGCATATGATCCCCAAGTAAAAAAACAAAACACTCTGAAATTCAGTAAGAGAAACATGGCGCTCCCTACTTACTCCCTTTATTTCTAATTTTAGACTCAAGTAAAAGAATCCTTCATGAACTTTCTAGTGATGCCATAAAAATGAAAATTTATTACGTAGAAGTATTAAAAATTTTGTTTCAAACTTATCGTTGTTTATTTTTTCTCTCTGTAAACCACACTCATATATTCGGCAAGAAAATCACGTCGCTTCCTTTAGATACTTTATTAAACAAAATGAATATTGAATGAAAGTTAATACCATAAGCTTTGAACAAGTATATCAAAAATCTGGAAACAAAGTGACCCCTCGGAAGCATTAATCACAACAAAATTAACGTAACATAAGAATTGCAGACTCGGTTTGATTGAGTCTGTACATGAGGGATAATGAACAAGTGCAACATCCCTCACGCCTCGTTGCACCGGCTTGAGCGGTACTCTATTCTCAACACTTAATAGCGCTGGCATCAATGATACCGAATGACCAGAAAAATATAACAACACTGAAGTGAAGTACGGGGCAATTTTTACAGCTGCCACACAGCACTTGACACCTGCTGTTGTGAAGTAAAAAAATCTGGAAACAAAGTGATCCCTCGGAAGCATTAATCACAACAAAAATACATATCAATTGCAGACTCGGTTTCATTGAGTCTGTACATGAGGGATAATGAACAAACAAGTGCAAAAAGTTTTTATTTATACTGTAAATACCTTATTAAAGATTGTACATATGTGCTACGGATAAGTATTTTCTTGATTTCGGAAAGGAAATCTCGGTGGCCGCTTTAAAATCCTATTTTTGCAAATACTTGCATAGTTTTTGTTGAAAATGAAATTTGTGCCAATACATTTTTCAATGATACCAATAAAAATATTGGATGGTTTTTAGATTATCAATAAAATTACTCCCTTGAAGTTGGTCATTGTTTCCCCTAAAAATTTCCAAATCGCCGATGTTTCTCAGGAAAACACGATGTTAAATAATAAGTTAATGCATAAGTTATCTTCATCATAAATGGTAAAATCAGCAATTTTCAAGTGATGTTGCTAGTGACAAAACTTTTGTAACAAATGTAACAAATATATGTTATGAAAAATGCGGTATGTTGTCCTTCAGTTTTATTTAGAAATATGGGAGAGGCGCCGTTTTATACCTGTCCGCAATAGAAGTTCGTAAATACTCCGAGAGGGGCGGGGCGTTATGCTTGACTTAAAATCGTTTAACTTTGTGAATCTACTTTTGTCATTTTAAACATGTTACTGTGTCAACGTACTCTTGTAGTTCTACAACTGGTAACACGTTTTCTTAAACTCTGTTTTCTGTATTTAAGATTTACATTTTATTTGCATATTTCAGATCTATAAGTGTGCAAAAATGCATATGTATTGCATGCAATGGAAGATACGAACTTGTAAATTTGTTGTCGTTTTAGATGTTAGGTCAGTTGTTACGATCTATATATAAACTTGTTATAAAAAGGCGGGAACCTTCAATTAAAAGATTGAATTAAGAGGCATATGATGTGCTATGCATGGGTACAATAAAAAATGGTAGGCATACAAGTTCGCATTTTCAAAAGTCATTTTAAAAAGGAACACTTTACATGTCTGGTATTTTGGCAACGATCGCCCTCCATAGGTAACAACCAGAGATGTTTCAAGATTTATCCTCTGAGGCTGTCAGTTGGTCTGTCTGTCCTTTTCTAAAAAACTGTTTCCTGAGATCACTTTTAAAGACATTGGAGTTTTTCCAACAAATTAACTTTAAATAGAAAAAAGTTGAAACATCAGTTAAACATATTCATCCTGAGAAAATTGGATCTTTTGATTATCTGTTTTTTAAACATAATAAGGGAAACATTAACATATAACTTAGATACAGACAAACTAAGAACTCAAAAGATTTAAGTTTATTAGTGTTCTTTATTCATTCATTCATTCATTCATTCATTCAAATACATAATTCAATGATCAATGACCCTTCAGGATGTTGCTTGGGTTCTGACCGATAGGGGACTTATGAATTGCTTGCAATACTATGATAATTGCTGTTTTCATTAATTCGATTCTTTTTGCTTATCAATATTTTCTCGAAACACATTTTTTCGGTTCTCTTGTCCATTATTGGTGCTTAGGTCAAATAATGATTTTCTTCTTTTTTTTTCTGGTCCTCCCGGAAGGGATACGATAGTACAGTATATACGTCAACTACTGTATAGCGTAAATAATCAATTGTTGCCATTATCAAGGAATTCCCATGACGTTGCAAATTAATTGCAAAACATAAACTAAAGTGGTTAAGACTACAATATTAAAGAACACGACATATTTTGTAACATGTTGCATGAATAATATGCAAGTTATTTGAATAGAAATACATATTGTTATTCTTTTAAAAGATGAATACACGCGTAGGTAATAATAGAATTTAAATGATTAAGATATCTTCAATGTGACACGTCAGTGCCATTCCATGAAAAGAGGTGTATTGTCCCCAAGTAAAAGAACGCGTTTGACCTAAACAAGAAAACAATGTGCTGAACAAACAAAATTGAATTTCGAAAAGGGATCAGAGGTTATGAAGCCTACATATCACAAATAAGACGTCAAAAGACAAATTTTAAGCAGGCACCATATCCTAAGGGTTATTATACATTATTCAAGTAGAAATATAGGAACCACCGAAGTTCAGATAGAAGGAACTTAAATACCAGAAACATGTACATACTACAACAATGTCGTGCTGAACGATCTTCAAAGATTGAAAATATAACATCTTTGATTGAATGTACGGGGCGACTTTTTACAGCCTCCATACGCAACACATAACACTGATATGGCATTAAAATAGAGAAAAATGAATCCCTAAAGAAGGCCGCCAAAAACATCCCGGCATGACCCGCAAAAGAATTCATATTTTAAGGATTAATTACGCTTAAACCGTACAAGGGGCGTGAGATATTTTTTTCATTATTTCTCATAAACAGACCCAATGATACCGAGTCTGCAAATTTTCATATAATATTGATGTTTTTTGTGATTTTAATGACATTTTCCGAATTATGTCTTTTGTTGAAAGAACAAGTATTCTTTGATTTGTTTGTGTAGTTTTTTTTCATTAATCACATACAAAGAAATGTATAGTAAAGTAAAAACCATCAATTAAGACCATCATTGGGATTAAACGAAAGTGGTCTTAATTATAAGGTGGTCTTAATTGTGAATATTCTTATCATTGCTTACATACTTTATGACCATGGTCGATTGCAGTCAATTTGTATGAACAAACAATATGTATCTTCACCTGTAAAAACAATAATATAAAAATTTCATAATAAATAATCTGATAAAGGGAAACATATTTCTGAAGAAATAAACATTTAATTATCCTCGGACTGATTGATTTCATTATATGATTTTATTATATGATGTACATTATTCACTTGTCTAATTAGAAATTAAATCTTCACAAAATAAATGTGCTAACAGCAACATTAAATCACTCTTAGATTTACTTTCTCACTCTTTTTCTTACAATAACCCGATAATTTTTAACACCCTGGGATATCAAGCGTCATACCGCAGATAATAACAACAGAAGGTTTTAACTTTAATATTAGTTGTCTCAATAGTGGGGTATAAAGAAAAATCAAATAATTGGAACTGAATCGGTTGGTCGTAAAAGTATATTAGCGGGGTGGTCTTCATTTTGAATCATGTAACCAATGACATAAAGAACAGAAAATTTCGTTCTTTTTTTTAAAAAAATGGTCTTAATAGTGGGGTTGTCTTTTATACAGGGTGGTCTTAATTAAGGATCCTACTGTATAATACAAAATACAAAAAATACTTTAAAAAGAAAATCAAAATACAAATTTCGAGCATTAAGAAATGATGATATTCAACATACTACAAAAATAAGTAATATAATTAATAAACGTATTACAGGAGACTATTTCAATGAAAGTAATGCATATATAGCATCAAATATAAACATATGCAAATAATCGTCAAGGTAAAAGGTTTTGTTTAGAGAAAAGAAACAAAATCAATAGCTTGTCATTGCACCTCATTTATCTACAAGCAATTTCCAAACGGATTTCTCTTTAAAATGTCACGTCATTGTTAAGTGCGAAAAAAAAACTCATTTGTAGCATTGATTCATCAGTCGCATTAATTTTGTTAAACTTTTCATAAAAGGCAAAAATTCAATCCAACAATCAAACGTCCGACTTCTTTGTTTGACAAAGCTCCACCAAACACAAGCAGCAAATAACAATAATCTGCAATGAAAATATAAAGAAATAACTGAACTCATACTACTTTTGGCAATGGCTGTGATCGTAACTATGAACTTATGAAATAGTTAAAGTCACTTGCATCTAGAACTGACTTATAGCTACTTCAGCTTTGTTATTTCACAATGAAAACAGCACCATGCTTCGAAGTATTTTTGACAAATTTTGAAGATTACATATTTCAGTGTTGAGCAACGTCTGATTGTAATATTTCCTACAGTCCGATTAACATTGGTTCTGACTTAAGGGATGAACGCATTTATCTGGTTTGATATTTGGGTGACAAAGTTGATAAAATATATTTGATAATCTCAAAGGAAGTACATGTAAATATCTTATTTTATTAATATTCTCAATTTAATTAAGTACAAATACTATTCTCACCAGCACTATGTATGTTCCTGTCATAATTATTGCGAATAAGACGCCTGAAGTAAATGTCTGGAAAAAACACAATTATTATCCCTATAAGGTATGTGACACCATGAAATATTTTAGTGTGGCATAAGTTTACTTAAGTTTTCGTTTAAATCCAAGTTAAGCATACATATTTAATGAAAAATATTACTCGTGATAAGAGCTTTCATTTAATCTCTATCTGTATCAATGAAATTATTGTAGATATCTTACAGTTGTGCATATTATTAAAGTAAACGAATGTATGAATATCATTTACCTGCTGATATTCATTCAACGTTGCTGTTTGATAAAAAACCAAAGCAGTAAAGAAACAACTAAAGATAACCTGCAGTAAATACATGTCAAATATTTGATAACATCATATTGAAAAGAAAATGAATAATTATCAATTATCTGAAACATATGTATCAATTTTTCAATAAATGTACTTCACTTTGCCTAAAATTGCATTTGCTCATTTTAAAAATGTAGTTTAATGACAAAGCTCTTTATATTTAGGCAAACTGTTTTACACACTAGGATTATTAAGACAAATGAATTTAAATAATGAAAGATTATAACAATTTGTTTGATTAATAGTGCCTATTGTTATATCAAGAACATTTACATGTCTTAGAAAAGAAGATAATGTATAAACATTTTCAAACGATTTGGACGAATTTGGAACGAAATGGTTTATACGAAATCATCGAGCAACGTTACCCATCACAGAAATTTCTATTACAATTTATTTGCATTACAAGTCGATAATTGTTTTATAAGTGATAAACAACTTACATATAAAATGAATACCCTATAATCTGTATGCACATTTTTGCAAAGCATGTAACAATTCCAACATATCAGATAAAAACAACCAAGAGCTAAGATCAGCCAACTTCTGTTCCAAAGGCGAAAACATTCTACACCAGGGCATGTGTATGTGAGTAGACCATGAACGCCAAATACTACCAGGGTAATGCCTTGAATCTTAAACAAGAATAAACATATTTTAGATATGAAACAGAAATCAGTGAACAAAACTAAATGTTACAGACTTAAGTCTTGCATCTTAAGTTTGACTCATTTTCGGTAGTGATGATTTGCATTACTATTCTGCTGTTATTACAAACATCTTTTGGATCCAGAATCCATTAAGTGAAGATGACATTAAAGATCTATATGAACATTACATGTAAAACATAATGATCTTACTATAATCAGTAGATATGTTAGAGTAAAAAAAGAAATTTTACTCTGGTTCAAATTAAACTGTATGTGAACATGTAACAGTATATCTTTAGCCTAAAAAACGATGGAAAGTAAGTTTTGAAAAAAAAAAGATTTCCATTTTCTACACAAAAAAGCTTACAAAAGTGCATTAAAGAATCACATTTACCAGAAATAGTCTTCTTATCCAGGTTTTGATATTGCATATTGTGCTGCCGTATTCTTTTGAAATTTTGGAATTCATTTCTGAAATAGTGAACAAGAGGTCATATAATTTTGAATCGAAGACCTTCATTTCAACGAAGATATTCGAGGCCGATATTTTCATACAATAGCTGTTTTCTTTATATAAAATATTTTTTATATAAAAAAAATCAATTAATAATGTTTCAAAGTTGTCCGACTTCTTTTTTCATGGAGAAAAGCAAACTAATCCCGGAAGTTGTTTCCGGTTTTTCGGCATTTGTGTCCCTTTCAATATTATTGTTTGGCGGGTACCCATATCCCGTAAATCAATTGACGATTGTTTTCTAATAAAAGAATTTAGATTTAGCGCAACACTTTATGACGTTATTTGTTTATATCAGTATCAAAGAGTCCATGTCATTGTCATTTTATAGTGGCTGTCTGTCTGTCGTAACAAGGTTTATTTGATATTGAGTCAGCTTGAGAACGGTATTTTAATGAAAAATGATTAAAGCCTGTGTAATAAATACTGGGGGAAAAGAAAGGAAATCGTTGAAATGTTTAGTGGCTTTGTTGGCTTATCAGCAATTTTCATGTAATTTTGTTGTGATTAGTGCTTCTGAGGAATCATTTGTTTCAATATTTTGTTACTTTACTCCCTCTTCATCAAATATAAATTAAGTACGGAATCCGTTTAGATGACAGTATTGAAATTAGTTCATAACCTTGAAATATAACTGATCATAGGACACAGAAACTAACAAAGCAGATTCAGAAATTACGTTGTTATTCGCGTATGTCCAATATGAGACAGATCATAGCCTGGCCTTAAGTCAAATGTTTCCCAAACTAGTGACGCGCGAAAATTGTTTATCGATACTCTAAAATAGATAAATACAGAATCCCTAAAGAAAGCTCAACAAATTGAAAATGTTGCAGGCTCGGTTTGACGCATAAGACTTTATGCTCATATTTATTTTGCCAGAAATCTATAGAACGAATTAATAATCATGCGGATATTTTTATTTCCTTTTTTTGTCGCCTTGAAAAGGTGACATATAGGGGTTACTTTTGTCGGCGGCGTCTGTGTCGGCGTCGTTGTCGGCGTCCCCTGAAGCTTGTCCGGAGCATAACTCAGTCACTATAAGTCTGATTGACTTCAAACTTGGTATGCATGCTTCTTTCAATAACCCGAAGTGCAGTGCACAAAGACCAGTACTTTGCAGTTCTTATTTTTTGAGTTATTGCCCTTTGTTAATTTTCATACTTTAATTTTGTCTGGGCCTTTTCTCTTCAACTAAAAAAGCCTTTTCTCTTCAACTAAAAAAGCTATGGACTTGAAACTTCATAGGATGATAGATCTCATTAAGAAGAAGTGCAGTGCACAAGAACCAGTACTCTGCACTTCCTAATTTTTGAGTTATTGCCCTTTGTTAATTTTCATACTTTTTTTTTTTTGTCCGGGCCTTGTCTCCTAATGTATAAAAGCCATGGACTTGAAACTTCATAGGATAATAGGTCTCATGAAGAAGAAGTGCAGTGCACAAGAACAGTTACTCTGCATTCCTTATTTTTTGAGTTATTGCCCTTTGTTTATTTAAATACTTTAATTTTGTCCTGGCCATTTCTCCTTAAGTATAAAAACTATGGACTTAAAACTTCATAGGATGATAGATCTCATTAAGAAAAAGTGCAGTGCACAAGAATCGGTACTCTGCATTTCTTAATTTTTGAGTTATGGCCCTTTGTTAATTTTCATACTACTAATTTTTGTCCAGGCCATTTCTCCGAAAGTATAAAAGTTATGGACTTGAAACTTCATAGGATGATAGATCTCAAGTGCATAAGAACTGATACTCTGCATTTCTTATTTTTTGAGTTATTGCTCTTTGTTGATTTTCTTAATTATTTTTTGTCCTGTTCATTTCTCCTCAAGTATGAAAGCTATGGACTTGAAACATCATAGAATGATAGATCTTATTGATAAGAAGTACAGTGCACAGAAACTGCTGCTCTGCACTTATTACTATTTTAGTTATTGCCCATTGTTATTTTTCATATTTAATTTTTGTCCTGGCCATTTCTCCTAAACTACATTGCTCACACGGCGACACATCCGACTCGCGGAGTTCTAGTTGGAAACATAAAACATGTCGAGATATAATTGTGAGAAAATAAGTCTGTGTTTCATTTATAGTCAGTCACAAAGTATCTAACATGTAAAGAAGACAATGAACATTTGAGTAAAATTCTGGAAACAAAGTGTTAGTCTAGGGTGAAACATATCAAAAGTTCTATCGCTCAATAAAGAGTACTTAAAACGAATAAAAGTAGTTTGAAATAATAAGCCCTAACGACATTCATAATTAGAAGAAGGAAGGTTAGTACTTCGGTGCGCGTCCGTACATAAAGTAATTCGGATGGGAGCACCTGATATCTTCCTTCACCGGAAAAACTAGAAAGTAAAAACCCTGTGTATCTGTGTATCTAAAACTAAGAAAACAAAAGAAAATGGGAATACTTTAACGAATTTTAAAGGAAAAACATAGACAAAAACATAAATTCCTTCACATAGATCTGATAATATTACTTTTATGTGTTATTTTAACTGTCTGTTATTCCTTTATGTCTATATTTGTATTATCAATAAATCAGTAAAGATAAGAATAAAGTAATAATCGGAAGCATTAATCACAACAAAATAACATAAGAATTGCAGACTCGGTTTGATTGAGTGTGTACATGAGGGATAATGAATAAGTGCAACATCCCTCACGACCCCTAGCACCGGCTTGAGCGGTACTCAATTCTCAACACTTTATAGTGTTGGCATCAATGATCCCGAAGGAAGAACGGGTAAACTTTTTACGGCTGCCACACGACACTTGACACCTGCTGTTGTGAAGTACAAAATTCTGGAAACAAAGTGATCTTTCGGAAGCATTAATCACAACAAAATAACATAAGAATTGCAGACTCAACCGATATATTTACAAACCAACATATCTGACTGTAGAGTATGTATAAATAGTATGTTAAACGCCTATTTGTAAATATATTAAAAGGTTAAAATTACTGGCGTTGGCACGGCTTAGCAAACTTAGACACGTATTCACCACTTAAACATATACAATGTATAGATAAAGCATTAAAAAAGACAGTATGTTTAAACTTATTTAAAAAGACAACAATACCGTAGTCCATCATACATTAATCCATTATCAACAAAAGGTAATATACACAAACTATGGCTGTGGAATCTAAATATAAAGATTAAAATACTCACGGAGATGAAATGAATGCTTTTTACGACTTATATAATAGATATCAACTTTGTTATGTTAAGTTCGGGAATGTAGTTTGTCAGGTAATCTAACAGGAAGAGATCAATAAATTATATATCGTTTGCATGTACGAGGTTGAACCTGATATTATCTTCCGGATCGTAACTTAGGATGAAACAAGGGCCCATCACTTCGGTCCAAAATCAAAAAAACAGAGCATGCAGTGGAAGTTCAAGACTCTGCGTCAAGAAATCGCGCATAAAATGAGGGGCAAACTGACTCAATGTGTTCTTTCTCCTGCACGACAATGCTCACACGTCCCAAAATAGATAAATACAGAATCCCTAAAGAAAGCCCAACACGGCAAAATTGAAAATGTTGCAGGCTCGGTTTGATTGAGCCTGTTCATGGACGGTACTGGAAAGTGCAAGTTACCGTCCACCAAGTTGCGGTTGCTGCTGCAACTGATTGGGGCTTTGAAATCTTTGCCCATTCTCCATTTTCTCCGGACCTGGCCCCCTCTGACTTCTACCTGTTTCCGAAACTGAAAAACAATCTGGAAACAAAGTGATCCCTCAGAAGCACTGGAAGTTTGAGCACAGGTGGACAAAATGCATTGACGTAGAGGGCGATTATATTGAAAAGTAAGACCATTAGTTGGTTTCTCTGACTACCGAAAGTAGATCGGGCGGAGAACTTTTTGATTAAAATAGATAAATACAGAATCCCTAAAGAAAGCCCAACACGGCAAAATTGAAAATGTTGCAGGCTCGGTTTGATTGAGCCTGTTCATGGACGGTACTGGAAAGTGCAAGTTACCGTCCACGCCCCCTAGCACCGGCTTAAGCAGAATTCAACATTTAAACGTGAAATAGTAAATCCTCATATTGTCTAATCAATATCTGTTAACTTATATATTGACATATAAGAGTGTCGATAACTCTCATGCCAAGCATATCTTTATCGCCTAAATTTTTAACACCCTGAAGATTTTTATCTTAAATTATTTTTTGTTTTAGATTCGAATTTTTGCGCAATAAATATTTTCGTACTCTTCGGGTTTGATGCATTAGGTGTATCTTCGATAATTGTGTTGCAATAAAGAAAGATCTTCACACCGTATTACAGAGACCAGTGACGACAGATAACTGCAGTAACGACAGAGATCAAAATAATACTTAGTAGTATAGATACTATGTTATCTATTTGATTGGTTTAATGATATTACGCAAAAAAAGGACAATAAAATTGCTTATAACTTACTGTCCATTGACTGGAGATAAAATCCGATAATTTTTATACCCCCGGAAATAAAGTAATTCAATCGTCCCTCCGTCTGTCCGTCCGTCCATACGAGGTAAACCTAAACCAACAATTAACACATTTGCTTACTAATCAATACAAAGTACATGATTTTGGCAAGTTACATAACAATGGCTTCCATTTTTCTAAATTATTGCCATTTTCAGCTGTTTAAAAATGATATTGATAACCGGACTAATTCTTAAGCTCTATCTGTACTAATTACTTCAAAATCTTAAAATAGGGAGAATTAGAATCAAAGTACATGATGTTGCCAAGTTATATAACTGTGTCATCCATTTTTCCCAGTTATTTCACAGCACTGAATGGTTAACCTATTCCGGTAAGTTGGATTTATATTAAATTGCTCCTCATTACATTATTTATTTAAAAATATTCCGTATTCGGTAGGTGGATACCTTCACTGGTTCTCTTAACTGTTTGTCAGTAATTGTTTCCTGGGGTTGTCAATGTTATTGGCGTAAAAATAAATATATGCATATTTGCTCATACAGCAAGGACCTTTAAATTTAAATTGGTGCTTTTCCTTTAAAACTGACATGCATAGGGAGGTCACCTTCCTTCGGTTTTAGATAGGTGTCATTTGAGTCAAGGTCATTAATGCAGTATTTTCTGTTGACATATTTTCTATTTTTATTCCATTCATAGTCTTTTATATTTAGTAGGAAAATAAATTTAGAAATCTTCTACCTTCGGAGGGAAAAAAGGTCATTTTCACTGCAAAAAGAAGAAGATTTCTACACTTTTGCCCATACAGACTTTATTCATTGACAGATGTGTTTTATAATTGGTGGGTTGATAATTTGCATGCTCTTTCTCCTTTGGATAGAGTTAGGCGTAAGTAGGTTATAGTCAACAGAGTGCCAATAATTTGCCCATACAGACTTTATTTATTGATAGATGTTTTCCGTATTTTGGTAGGAAGAGTGCATGATCTTGAGAGGTCAGTAAGTAAATGTCATGGTGCTAAAATAGAATTCAAAATCTGTTACTAGGCCTTTTTCAATTAATTTTTAT